CCCCCCAACTACATTTTCACTGAAGAGAAAGATCTGCCCAATCTGCACGAAGGTAAATTAAGGTAAGACTCTAGCATCTGTGAATACTTCGAGAACTTGCTACAAGCCTCCGAAAGCAGTTTTACCGTTACCGCATTGGACAGTGATAATAATCTTACCGTTTTTTTGTAAAACTACAGGACAAAATCCATTCGTGATTATAGCGTGTCAGCAGACGGATGAAAAAAATAATGAAAAAAAATATTTCAAAGGCCAAAGCGAATCCAATCGACAGTTGGAGTGAACCTGGCGGCATGCGCACCTTCATCCTACCGTAGAATGTAATCTTTGAGCAAGGAACAAGGGACAGGTATAGTTCACGACGTGAATTTCAAATTCTCTTTCATTGACGTTTTTTTCAAAGCATTCAAGTCGCTCGAATAAATAACATAATTCATACAGTACTTTCTCATAGATATTTATGCTTATGAAATCACGGTTCCTTTAACCCAGAACCTTCCCAGGAATCAATCGGATTGAGTACTACTCATGGTAAAGAGCATACTAGAAGCAACGCGGATGAAATAACCGCCACAGGATTCAGGTATCTTTTCAGAATTTGGTCTTTTATAGCCCCTAGCATCTTCCACAAGTTTTTCAGAGAGATCAGAGTAATTGAGATTACAGAATGGGGCGGGCATCAGAGGCACTGCAGGCGAAAACTTCCCGATAATTGTTCACTGTACCAGCCTTTTGTTGTTTCTGTTTATTACTTTATCCATGCTCGTTTCAATTTAAAAAGAAAATCCTCACAACCCTTCCCTACCTGTGCCAGCCTGCTCTCTGGTTGTACTTGTGGGCCTTGTTCTATTGATGGAAAAGCTTCAGCCTAGTACATTAATTGAATCAACACGTATACAGAAGTAGACCACTGAGGATCTTATAGTTTTATCACAAATAATTAACAATACTATCACGTACGATATGTTGATATTATGGTGATATATTGATTGAATGAACTCCAGGCAAACATAAAAATACACCACAGCTATGAGCATAGTTTTTCTGACCTACAGATAATGTATAGTAAGATGTGTTGTGAAGTGAAAAACAAGAGCCTCGTTATTTCAAAAGAAAAATAAACAAAAAACAAAGGAAAACCATAAGGCACTGATGAAACCGAAAAGCCATAATGGTTTTGATTGAACACAGATTGATAATTGATTAGCAATGACAAGGAAGGCCACATTAAACCGATCAGAAAACAATCACATAGTAAAAATATAGCCGTGTTTGTTTGGCGAAGAAAGGGCAACAGTAGTACTTACCAGACTTCGATAAAGAACCCCAACAGTAAGACTTTCCCATATATATCTACAACTATGATACGCTCCTCAAACATTACTTTCTTCACCTCGTATTAAGAATGAATCAAAAGAAAACTTCGAGGTAACAGAAACGGATAGGGAATACTGGCAGGAAAGTGAAAATGAAATCATGCTAATTTAGTAATAAANTCAGAGTAAAGGCAAAGCGAATGGAATGCCATTAGGCTTTCAAAGCAGGGTCTAGAAATTATTGAGCTCCATAACCTAGAGTACTTAAAACAGTCAGCAAAAAATCTACATCAACTACATAAGAAAAACCATAACAAATCGTTGTTGGTGGTCAGTAAAACAATTCCACCTGAGTCGAATTAAGAGCTTCTAAATCTCAACATGCTTCGCTTCATACAACTCGTCATCCTCTTCAGAATCTGAATCCAAAATGTGGACTTCTCCAGTTTGACTATTGTAGTGAGGCAATGGAGTGTAGCTGCAAGAAGAAAGTTAAATGAATGGTTGAGAAAACATGTAACTACCGATGAATAGTTATGATGAGTTCAGTTGTAAATGTGCTCAAACAAAAGCACACAGACAAGTGTACGATTATATAAAGCGGAAAGATTCAGTTGACAACTGAAGTCAACATTTTCAAGCATTTTCATCTTATTTTCAAAGGAAACCCTCGAAGGGTTTTCAATGGAAATAAGATGAAAATGCTTGCTATCCCTCTGCTATTTTTTAGATTTACAGTGAGTAGCTCACTCATGAACACGGAAAAGAGGGAACTTCGTTTCAAATATGCTCAGTTATATAAAAGCAGAAATTTAATCCAAAAATGATCATGATGGCAGAGAACGGCTAATCACTAATAAAATTTTGAATAAAGCCAACTGCAGATAGGTGGGAGTAGAACTCCTCTCTCACTCTATTCTTATCGAGAGAATTGACCAATATTTGATAAACAATATAAATTAATGAACTCACTCAATTTGATTGCGATCATCTCTCAGCAGGCAATATGCAATGAAGCCAACGAACGAAAATAGAGCCACAATGAGAACTACCCATATAAAAGACCAGAAGAGGCTCAAACTTCGATGGTCCCGATCAGGGTACTTTGCATTAGGGGAGCAGTCTTCTAAAAAGCACAAACAGAAATGAAAAGATACACTGGACTCGTAACCTAAGAGGCGGCAAAGCTCTGATAGTACCCCTGAAAATGCCGATTGCTTTGAAAACTCTATCCCTCACTTAGTACCGCTTCTAACTCCAAAAGTAGAAAGGAACACAATCAGAAGTGCTTCATAGTCAGTTGCGCAACCATGTGCGACACCTCTGGTCCTGTTATGCAGTACCATAAAAAAGTAAAAATAGTGGTGCCGCCACAATCAATCCAATCAAGCTGTACTGATTCGAGAATGAAAGAAATATGTAAAAGTTAATAGAAGCGTATTTATTCACGTACCGCATCGATAATTCTCTGCAGTTTGCCCTTCAGCGCAGCACGGCCTGCAGTAACCAGTAGAACGGTTTCCGTAACCGGACGCACAGGTTGTACAGCCCAATATCCCTGACACAAAATAGTACTTTCAACATGAAATAACTTTGTAGTAATAAGCGAATTATAATTTACCAAATCTCAAGAAGGAATACTATTTTACTGTACCTGGACCACTGCACAAGGCACATGCTTGATCACATTGATCGCACTTTCCCACGGAATTCAGAAAATAGCCATCTCCGCAGCGTTCTTCACGTAGCACACAGCGTGCTTGTACCAAGTTCGTTTCATCTATGAGTTACCAATGATTAATAAAGGGATGACATAAAAAGGTTTTAGTATTAGTCGCTCAAAGGCACTGATTACTTTTTGGCTAGGTGACACTGGCTTTCGAGTGGATGCACCTATCGCTAAATTTAACTGGGCACGGGAATTTATGAAAACTAGCCTAACATGAAGTGAGAAACTATGGTGTAAGCGCACAAATTTTAGATTATCTTAGTCAGTCATTACGCCATATTTAAGTTTTGGAGCTCTCAATACTTCTCTTATGAGGCAAAAAGAAGTTAAACAGCCGAAAGAGCAAAAGGATTAAAGAACTTTGGCTATACTACACTCGGTTAACCCAATGCATTCAACTCAGATGAGGTACGAAACTAGTCGAAGTATGTAGTTATATGATGGTTAATTGACGGATAAAACTCACAGTCGGGTACTTGTCCAATCGCACATTTATCAACACATTTGCCATTTTGTGGAGAATTTGCTACGTGAACAAGAAGTTGGGCTCCAGGGCATGTCTCACACACCTGGAACAAAATTGCTCAAATAAATTGGAAGAACTCAATCAACTGTCAAACTATATTACTTCATCGAAAAAAAAAAGCATGCTGCCGAATACATTTTGAGACTCAAGCAGAACGTTCGTCTATTGACCCGCCAGCAATTCCTAGGAGTCATGATACACTATGAATAGACTTGGATAAAATTATACCCTGAAGGGTGATTTCAGGCCAATTAAAGATAATTTATGAATAAACCTGGATATATTGATTGCCCTGTGGATCCTAAGAAAAGCTATAGAAAAGCCATAAAAAACAGAATTTCAAGTATGAAAAACAACAGAGCGAACCTCTGCTTGTGAACATGTATGACAATGTGACGAGCACATTTTGCAGTTCATGCCATCCAAATAGTATGTATCGTCGCAATGAGGGACACATCTGAAAGTCATAAAAATCAAATAGATCTGTTCGAAACCTTCAAATTTATGGTAGACTCAAGGTTGTTTACTAAATGTTCGCTTTTGGTATGAGTTATTACTTAGCTTCTTTTGGACTTTTCCGAAAAACCAGATCTCAAGCTAACGAAAAAGTTCAATATCTGTTACTTTGCCTAACTTGGTCCACTACTATATCTTGCATTTAGCTAATGTCATAGTTGGCTACTAGCGGAGCACTCGAAACCATTCCTATTTCGTGGATTTAATCTCAGTACAAAGCACCCACAAATCAGCCTGATTAAGCATCCGAAACTTGCCCAACCATGACAATCTTCTCACTCCCTTTATTTGAACTTCCAAAGGTTGAGAGGACCTCAAGGGTAGGCTAGTACAACTTTATCATGCAAAACAAACCCTTTTTTTTTGGAAAAATTAGGAAATGAGGCTAAATTTCACTGCATATAATCGAGTCAAATACGCTCACAAGAACGCAACTACAAGCTATGTTAATACAAACACCCCTCAAGCCACCATACTGGAATCAGCCTAAAATAACGTTTAAAATCGCGGGAATGCACAACACACCCAATCCCACGACGCAACCCTACGTCACCAACTATTCTACGACTAATTTTACGGTAGGAACTTGAACTTATTTCCTTAGTTTTCTCGCAAGATGTGTTTTTCATTGTCTGGCGGGAATAGCGCACAAATGGCAACAAGTTTTACCTCTAGTGGAGACTATCAGACCATAATTTAAGAAAATATCCAGTACATCCCCAAAGGGGTTTTTCTCTTTACTCAGTTTTTTTTATTTGGGATTTACTTTCTCTTCTAGTTTCACCGCAGTTTTTGCTGTGCGATATTTTAGCTTTCACTGCGATACTTCTCCCCTGATTTTTTTATCCTCTAGCTTTTCCCCATCCGAATAGTTTTTCACTCTTTCCTTCCCTCATTTTTTAAGCTTGTATGTACACATTCAACGTCGGCTAAGGCCGCTCATGAAATTTCAGCTAATCACACACTTGAATCCATTGCCGGCTTTGTTTCGGAGCGTTTGTGTGAAATGTTTACATCGGAAACATGCGACAGCCGATTGACTCTCCGTACATCCGCCATCGCATTCTGGATGGCAATCACCGACCGATCGAAGATCACCAAACGACAACGGCTCGACCTCATCTATCTAAAAAGAAACCACTTGCAGACAGGTAACAGCAGGGCATAACTACACTAAGTCTCTCTTGAAGATCTCGAACAGACCAGGGCACAAAAACGAAAGGATCAGACGACAGAGGCGAACAGGACGCAAGGTGTGTTCTGTTTGGGTCTCTGTCGCTCTTTTCGTGCCGATTTCTGCGCTCGGGTCTGTTCAGAGGCACTTGGTGCTGGCACGATAAGTATGTATGTACTAGCTAACGCATTTCAGGCAACCTTATTTACATAGGTATCGATGGAGTTGAAGAAATGTAAGTTTTCAGCCTCTCGCAATTTTATCGGAACCGATTTACGCGCATTGTTATCAATGTCTCGAAAACGATTAGAT